GAGCGCTCTGCAGCTCTAAGCCAAGAAGGACTCAGCTTAACTTGCTTTGGGTGACACCATCAGGCCCTTCAACAACACATTTATTCATAATAAGAAGCATCTAGAGGGAGTCAAGCACTCTGCAGACTTTCAGACAACTGTGAAGTACACCTGTTAGCTGTCAGACCAGAAGGTTTGCTGCCATCAATGGGCTAACGGCTTAAAACTGCTTTCAAAGCTTCGTGGACCCTGAAAAAGCTGCACTTAACCTCAGTGGACACCAAGTCAAAGGCTGCAGATGTAATTGACTCAAATCCTTCCTTTCTCCTTAGAGCTGTTTGTTGAAACCACACAGCTGTTTACATCCACCTTTTAAAGAGATCCTGACCCCAATTGGTCAGAAGATTAAATTAGAATTCAGCCTTCTTTGTACCAAACCTTCCCTTCTACTGTGCTGCAGCCATTTGCCACAGTAGTCCAGCAGAAAACTTCCTCTGAGAAAAAAAGGTGAAGGAAAAGTAAAGCTTCCAACCGCTGGAAGGTTTTCAGCACTTTGTAACCCCATAGTTATTCCTAATGATAAATCATAACAAGGATGTCCGGTTGAATACCAGGATTAACCATGTATGCAACAGACGACCAACATTGTCATTAAGATGAAGGGTTAGGCTCATGGATGGATGTAGCCCCATCATCGCTCTGCTCCACTGCAGGGATGTCGTATCTATAGCTGTTTGGGTTTTGTTTGTCTTCAGTCTCTGATTAATCCCTTGTTCAATTTTTCTGCATTAGTTTTAGTCAGGTATTGGCATATCTGTCATGATTTATCTAAGATCTGACCCACATGCAGAAGACCAAGCAGAGAGACCAGGGAAAAGTTTAACAGGTTTTATTTTGAATAGGTTGAGAAGAGTCCAGTGCTGCTCTGAACACTGCTGAACTGGGACTGAAAAGTGAAGGGGTAGATTCTGTGGTTAGTTCAGGCTCAGTGGGAAATTTGTGTCTTTGACTTGAAGAATGGAATTAAGGCAACAGGACTCATGTTTCCAGAAAAAGGTGTCTCTTGTTGAACCCAGTCAGTGTGGGTTGTTCCAGTAAAGACTTGCTCATTGGAGGGCGGACAGGGTTTACCCAGGTTGCTGTGTTTCCTTGAGGAACGGAGGAGCTGACTGCCACTTAGTTTCCCTGAGGTACTTGAACGTTTCTTCTGGAGAAGAATCCCCTGCTAAGAGAGAAGCCCCAAACAATCCTTGGGGAAAAGAAGATCCAAACCACTAGCTTAAATCCTCAGCTCAGTTTGATGCTCAGAGAATCCTTCCAGGGGGGAGAAGGTCCAAAACATCCAGTTTGCAGGATGACTTCCTGCCGAGAGGCAAAGACAAAAACAGCAAGGTTAAAACTCAGGTGACAAAAGCTCAGTTTGACTCAGCAAAACTTAGCTTGGCTAGAGTACCCAAAACTGGAAAACACTCTGGCGTCGAGGTAGTGGCAGTCAGCAGCTTAAGAACACTCTGGTAATGAGGCAACGAGCTGCAGGTGTGCAGGAAGGCCTAATGAGGACGGGGCACCATCTGGTGGAGGAGAAAAGGAAACACAAAAACAACCCACAGAAACTGGATTCCTGACAATATCTAGTTAACACTTTTGGGTTTATCAGTGTCAGTTCAATTTTGCCAACTCATCCTTCAATCCTTTAAAGTCTGTTTCCTTTCTCTTCATGGCTTCTGTTCCCTGTGGATTCTCATTTATTGCCTTCGGTTATTTTTATTCTTTTTTTAACAGAGTCTTAATTTGACTCTGTTGATTTTAATAAGTCTTCCTCCCTCGATATTTCTATCTTCCAGCTGCTTTAGCCACTCCACCTAATTTCCTCATTGTCTCACCTGCATGCAGTGTCTTTCTGCACTTCTCCGTCGGCATTTAGGATGATTGAAATTGTCTTCTGCCCTATACAGCCTCTGTAGGTTTTCACCTATTGTTATGAGTTATGGATCAGAACTGGATTCTGGAAAATAGCAGTTCAAATGAGTCTGTTGCAGGTTTGAACCCTATAAGAATGAAGGACAAGTAGTCAAAAGCACAGGGATGCAGATAAACAAATGATGCAACAATGGAACAAAAATGACTAAACAAAACTCAAAGCACAAGAAATGTGGGTATACCTATTTAATTGTCAATCTCCTTTTTTTAATATCCTCCTGTCTGTTCCATGCACTCCAATTCTACACTTGACATATGAGATCTAAAACATTTAATAAACCAGACAAATAAAGATGCTGTAGGCAGGAGGTCACGGATTAGCGGGCCGCTGTCCGGATCCGGACCCAACCTGATTTAAAACATTTATAAATTACTGCATGTTGTCTGACAACATTGTCTAACTTCACTTGCACTGTTCTTCTCCTGTTAAATGCAGTTTTTTTTTTTACATTGGGCCCTTGATTTTACATTATTACATCATGTTCTACTCACTCATATTAGTTTTGTGTCATTTGGAGCCGTTCTGAAGATATTCGGTTAGGTTATATCCAGGTAACATCTTCCTATAGGCAACGACTTGAAGGCAGAAACTAAACTGTTCATAATTTATTCTTTATGGTACGCCAGCATTCCTAACATGTAGGCGAATCACTGTCCCCCAGACATCTGTGGTTATATTTTTTATATTTATTTTTTTTAAAACAAAGCGGAGTGTGTATGACGTCATCCACGCGCCGGCTACCGTTCATTCATCCTGTCCGCTGAACTGCTGCTAGTTTTCCTCACATGCCTGGAAAATGTCTAGTGCTGCTACCACAGATGATCTCGCTCTCCAAATGGAATTGAACGATTCAGGTTAGCTAGCTGAATGAATAGAAGGGGTAGAGCGTAGCCGCCTGTGGCCCGGGCTGCCTGTCACAACTCCAGTCCGGCGCGCGGATGACGTCATACGTTTTTGTTTATGTTTAAAAAAAACATAAATATGAAAAATATAACCGCGGATGTCTGGGGGACAGTGATTGGCCTACATGTTATGAATGATGGCGTACCATAAAGAATAAATTATGAAAAGTTCAGTTTCTGCCTTCAACTCCTTGCCCATAGGACGACGGTACTGGATATA